AGCGTACCCACACTGGGGCACGTATGCACACTGGGGCAGTGTACCCACACTGGGGCACGTATGCACACAGGGCCAGCGTAACCACACTGGGGTACTTATGCACACTGGGGCAGTGTGCCCACACTGGAGGATGTACCCACACTAGGTGAAGTATATCACAAGGTATACAAACACCAGGACATACTCTAATTGAAAACTTTACACTAACCAAGACACACCCGCAGTGAGGGTTTACACACACACTGGGGTGTGTACCCATACCAGTGGGAATGAACACACGATGGAAAACACTCAGACTGGGGTGAGTCCCCGGTCATGGGGATCTGTATCCACTGGTAGTTGCAAAAAAGGTATAAGCAGTTTACAGAGAGATATTGATAAGTTAATTAAGTGGGCAAAATGTTGGTAAATGGAGTATAATTTGGGAAAATGTCAAGTTGTTCATTTTGAACGGGAGAACAAAAGAACAGAATATCATTTCAATGGAGAAAAAACTGAAGAAAGCTGCAGCACAAAGGGACTTGGAGGGACTTGTACATGAAACACAGAAAGCTAGCACACAGGGGCAGCAGGGAATCAGGAAGGGTAATGGAATGTTGGCCCTTATTTCAAGGAGGTCGGAGTGTAAGAGTAGGGAAGTCTTACTGCAACTGTACAAGATGCTGGTGACACCACATCTGGAGTATTGTGATCAGTTCTGGTTGCCTTATTTAAAGAAATAAATTATTTCATTGGAGGCGGTTCAAGAAAATTCACTCGAATGATCCCTGGTATGGAGGGACTGCCTTATGAGCAAAGGCTAAACAGGTTGGGACTCTACTCACTGGGGTTTAGAAGAATGAGAGTACCCACATAACCACACTGAGGATTGTGTACACATTGGGTCATACCCTCACAGGGGAAGTATACACAATGGAGTGTGTACATATGCTGAAGCGTACCCAGGTTGGAGGTAGGTGATGTACTCCTACAATGGGGGATAGACACTGGGCAACTTCTCACACTGGAGATGGTACACTCAGGGAGGAAGGGCTGACACACACTGGAGGTTTCCCTGTCCCTGAACAGTGAACGTTGGCAAATTAACACATTTCAGGTGCACTCGATTCCATGGCGCTTTTTCGAAGAAGGGCAAGCAGACCTGGCCAATAATGTCACAACCAACCTCCCCACAATAGTTAGAGCTTTAGTGAAACTACAGCCAGGGCACTATATACAGTTATGGTCTCCTCATCTGAGGAAGAATGTACAAGGTATGCAGGGAGTGTAATGGAAGCTCACCAGTCTAACCCCTGAGTTGTTGTATGAGGAGTGATTGAAGAATCTTACCCTGTATTCTTTAGGGCAGGACTTTACAAAGAGCGGGTTGGGACACCAGGCAGAGTTTCTAGGTGAAAGATTGAGGTCCTGAGCTCTGAGGCAGCAATGGAAGGCACAGAACTTTGACAAAGTTACAAAAGTTTAGGGGAGCTAATGGCCCAGTGGTATTATCGCTGGACCATTAATCCAGAAACTCAGCTAATGTCCTAGAGACGCTGGGTTCGAATCCTGCTTCAGCAGGTGGTGGAATTCAAATTTGATAACATTCTGGAATTAAAAGTCTGATTGAAATGAAATTAGAAATAAAGTCAATGAAACCATTGTTGCTTGTCAGGAAAATCCCATCTGGTTCACTAATGTCCTTTAGGGAAGGAAATCTGCCATCCTTACCTTGTCTGTCCTACATGTGACTCCAAACCCACAGCAATGTGGTTGAATGTCAGCTGCCCCTTGGGCAATTCGGCATGAGAAATAAATGAGCATGGCCCAGCTTGTCCTGTGAATGCATAAAACAAAAGGACCCTTTTTGACAGTTCTGGATGAGGGGATCACAATGATTTGCCAGCCTCGAGATGGGTTCACAGTGGGAAGCATTGGTCTACAGTTTTGAGAATGAGAGTTTCTCTCATTAAAGCTTCCAGAATTCTTACAGGGAATGGCAGGACAGATGGAGGAAGAATGTTTCCTCTGCCTGGTGAGCCTAGAATCAGGGGACACTGCCTCAGAATAAGGGGCAAGCCATTTACGTGTGAGATGAGGAGATATTTCTTCACTCAGAGAGTGTGAATCATTGGAATTTTCTACTCCAAAAAGTTCTGGAGAGTCACCATTGACAATGTGCAAGACAGAGATCAGATTAAATAGCTGGATTTTAAAGATATCGAGGGATATGGAAGAATTGGCATTGAGGTAGATGACCAGACATGGTCTAATTGAACAGGCTCAATGGGCTGAGTGGCCTCCTCCTGTCCCTACATTCCTATCTGAGCATCATCTCATTGCTGTTTGTGACAGTTTGCTGTGCGCGGATTGCCTGCCATATTTCCCATATTCCATTGCACTCCAAATGCACTGCATGGGTTGTAATGCACTTTGAAATGACTTGAAGATGTGAAAGTCAGTATATAAATGCAAGTTATTTCTTTCTTTCCACTTGATGTTGCGAGGGCCAGCTGTTTTCCTTCACCGTGTCACAACAAGAAGTTGCATTTAATAAGCACCTTTAACTCAATAAAATACCCCCAAGACTCTGTACAGGAAAGCTATGGAATGGGTTATTTGGATAGAATGAATACTTACATGGGAAATATAGATTGATTCTGGTGAATCAGAATAGATTTACTAAGGGAAAATCATATCTAAGTAACTTCCTGGAGGTTTTCTGAAGAGGTAGCATAGAGTGTTGATGTGGTCAATGCTGTTGATATAACGTATATATACCTACAAAAGGCCTTTGATTCAGTGCCACACACAGACTTGTGTGGAAGGTTATAGGTCATGAAATAAAAGGAAAAGTGGAGACAAAATTGGCTGAAGATAGGATGCAGAAAGTGATGGTTAATCAGTATTTTTCAGGCTGGAGGATTGTTTGTAATGGAGTTCCCAGGGGCCAGTACTGGGACCCTTACTTTTCCTGGTACATATCAACGGTGTACAGGACAATTTCACAGTTTGTGGATGACGCAAAACTTGGGAGAGTTGCAAACTGTAAGGAGGACTGTGTAGAAATTCACAAGGACATTGACAAGTTGGTGGAGTCGGCAGATTGGTAGCAGATGGCATTCAATGCAGAGAAATATGAGATGATGCACTTCAATACAAAGAACACAGAGACAGTGTAAAACAAAGGTAAAACAAAGGCTACTATTCTAAAGTTTGTGCAGGAGCACAGTGACTCAGGTCTATATGAACACTATTCGATAAAAGATGTAGCATAGGTAGAAAGAGCTGTAACTAAGGCATACAGAAACGAGAAGTTGCTGGAAAAGCTCAGCAGGTCTGGCAGCATCTGCGAAGAAAAAAATCAGAGTTAACGTTTCGGGTCCAGTGACGTTCTGAGGAAGGGTCATTGGACCCGAAATGTTAACTCTGATTTTTTCTTCACAGATGCTGCCAGACTTGCTGAGCTTTTCCAGCAACTTCTCGTTTTACAGCAGCATCCGCAGTTCTTTCAGTTTTCATACAGAAACAGAACTTGCTAGAGAAACTCAGCAGGTCTAGTAGTATCTGTGTAAGAAGAGTCAATGTTTAAAGTCTGGTGACTTTTCATCAGAAAAGTATTTTATTTTATATAAATAAAGTATACAGTATTGCGGGCTTCATAAGTAGAGGCAATGAGTACAAGAACAGGGAGGCTAAGTGAAACTTATATAAGATACTGGTTAGACCTCAGCTGTAGTCTTGTGTACAGCTCTGGGCATCAAACTATAGGAAGACTTTGAATGTTTTGGAGAGAGTTCAGAAGAGATTTACAAAGAATAGTTTCAGGAAACTTCAATTATAAGGATAGATTGAAGAAGTTGGGACAGTTCGCCTGGAAAAGGAGAATGCCAAGAGGAGATCTGACAGAGGTTCTCAAAATCATGAGGGGTCTTGGTAGAGTGGACGGGAGAAACTTGGATTGAAAACCAGATGGCAGAGTTGTAAGGTGCTTTATAAAAGAAATACCTGCAAGGTGAGAAAATTACTTCTTTTCACACAGCGAGTAGAGAACATTGGTGAGGCCACTTTTGGAATACTGCATTCAATTCTGGTCACCCTGCTATAAGAAAGATATTGTGAAACTTGAAAGGGTGCAGAGAAGATTTACAAGGACATTGCCGGAGTTGGAGGGTTTGAGCCATAGCAAGAGGCTGAATAGGCTGGGGCAATTTTCCCTGGAGCATCGGAGGATGAGGGGTGACCTTATAGAGGTTTATAAAATCATGAGGGGCATGGATAGGGTAAACAGAAGGTCTTTTTCCCAGTGTACGGGAGCCCAAAACCTGAGGGCATAGATTTAAGATGAGAGGTGATAGATTTAAAAGGGACCTAAGGGGCAACTTTTTTACACAGAGGGCGGTGCATGTATAGAATGAGCTGCCAGAGGAAGTGGTGGAGGCTGGTACCATTACAACATTTAAAAGGCATCTGGATGGGTACATGAATAGGAAGGGTTTAGAGGGATATGGGCCAAATGCTGGCAAATGGGACTGGATTAATTTAGGATATCTGGTTGGAATCGATGATTTGGACCGAAGGATCAGTTTCCTTGCTGTACAACTCTATGACTCTGAGTGGTTTGGGTCTAGATTGCACTGCCTGGAAATGTACAGGAGGCAAATTCAGTAGGAGGCATTCAAGGGGGCATTGGATGATAATTTGGCTGGAAGCAATGAGCAGGTACATAGGA